AGGGGGTGGGGTGGGGGTGGGGTCGAGTGTTTATGAGCGGAGAGATGTTGGGAGAGAGAGAGAGAGAGAAGCTGCGTCAGGTCAAATATGGTTTTCTTGTTTCATTTATGTTGTTTCGGTAACCTTTGCCACGCTCCAATCGCACGCGCTTCAACAATCTTATGGGGTACTTCACTTGTTTAAAAAAAAGGTTTAATCACCCCAAAAAAATGAGTGTAGAGCTAACAAATTAATTTATATAAATTAATTTAATTAAAACAATAATTAACATTATTTTAATAAATATAATAAATGGTAGTATTATAATTAAATATAGTACTCCATAATAGTTACATTAAAAACTTTTAAATTATTTATTAAAAAACATTAATATATATTAAAAATTAAAAATGTTAAGCCTTCGAGAAAAATAAGTCTGGACCGGTATGGAATCCTGACCAACCCTTGAGCCGGCACTGCATGACGAAACATATGACAGAGATAAATTAAGAAACCAACGATTCGTTAAGCTAAGATAGAGGTATCCCACGCACCTACAAGGGAGGGGTCAGGGAGCTTTAATTGTTCTAGCACTTCCATACCCTTTTTTTAAGAGGAATGATCTTTTAGACATTTTCTTATCATTTTCTACTTATCTTGGTGTTTGTGCCAAATGAAAGCTTGACAAAAAGATTAGGACGGAGGGAGTAACAACATATCGATCAAGATGTAGTTTTACTCGTGAAAAAATAGATATATTATTTTTCGTGGTATCTTAGATACAATTGTTGCATTTAGTGTCTAAGATTTCATAGAAAGTACTTATTCCAATTAATGAGCCCTGATTGATATTATTTTTAACTTAACTTATTTGATTGTATTTGTAAAATTAGAAAATAAAATTTAATATGTAAAAACTACATAAAAATCCTTCAAAACAAGAGATGACATGACTATTTTATACTCCCTCCGTTTGTAAAAATACTTCATGCTATTACTTTTGACAAATTTATTTTGGTAATTTAACTTTCCAAATATATCATTTGCAACAACAACAACAACCCAGTTAAATCCCACAAACCAAATATATCATTTGCATTGATGAAATAAGAGAAACAAATCACTTAAATAACTTATTACTCCTTCCGTATCCCAGTTTTTGTCCACTTTTGACTTTTGAAAATGTTCATCTAAGCACTTTGACTCATCAGATTCTCTCAATATGTAAGCATAAATATAGTCATGTGTGATCTTGTTTGATTTGTCTTAATATATAGATTATTAATATATAATTTTTATAATTTTTTAATATACAAATTACAAGATAAAATGGATTAAAAAAGTGCATTGGATGGTGTGTAAAAATGAAAGTGGACAAAAACTAGGGGACGGAGGGAGTATATCAATACAAAATTGATACAGAATATTTCAATGACTTTATTTGGATGTATTAGTCATTTTATTCAAAAGTAGAAGTGTTTTGTCGAAAATGAAAAAAAATTAAAGGGGAAGAGGTTTGAGAAGCAGATGGAGTTTTATGAAATAAGTATTGAAAATAAGCAAACAAAGTAAATAAATTTTGATCATGTAAATAATGTCTGAGTAATTAATTTCCAAACAGAAGTACGAACAAAGTACATTTAGTGAGGTGTTTTCTTATTCAACTAAAATAAAACATTGTACGAAATGAGCCTTTTAGACAAATTATCTGAAATTGGGTCGGTTCTGTTGTCACTGGGCAACGGTTCCACTATTTTTTGGAGCACCTCAGATGCTTCATTTCTAAAATTGATGGTTCATACCTCTGTAAAGTCCCTAGCTACCCCTGTCCCCCACACCTTAATCTGACCTAATGCACAATGACCACACATTTAGAGGAGATACTTCAAAAAATAGTGACGCGTTACTTAGTGACAACAGAACCAAGGCTAAAACATACCTTTATCATTAAAAAAATGTTAAAAACTAAGAGTATGTCTCTTATCATGATGAGAACAAGTTAAAAATATTTTTTTATTTTTGTTGGTTAGGAGGTGTGAGGGGAGTATATCATGGAACAAACAAAATGGAATAACAATCTGAAGTGGTCTGAGTCATGCATGTAAGGAAGCTAAGAATTCAGATATGCTAGAGTAAAGGAATTAATTAGGACAACATTTATAACTCGGAAGATCATCTTATATAGCAGATACATACATGGAATACAATGAGGCTCTTCACTTTTATGCCACACAATCTAATCAATGTAAGCCTTTAGGAATTTATGAGCATTGAGAATTGAAGTGAAAAAAAGTGAAAATTGAAACAAAAAAATGAACTATACAGCGAGGGGGGAAGATTATCGAAAATTAGAGAACTGTAAAACTGAAAAAAAAAACTAAGCAAAGCAAAAATTACCAAAAATCAGATCGGAAACAAGTAAGCAGAACCGAAAATTAGATCTTGGTGAAATTACCGAAAATTATATCGGCTAAAACTGAAAAAAGTAAGCAGAGCCGAAAATACCTGTCTTGGAGATGGCGATCGGAAGAAGATGGCGATGCGATCGGGTGAAGAAGGTAGGATATTAAATCGAAAAATGCTAGGGGTACACCAAAATGTACCTCAAATATTCCACACCCTCTCCATAACCACATAAAAAGGCAAAGGCAAGTAAAGTTTTAAAAAAAATAAAAAATAAACACAAAATAAAATGAGTAGTAAAGAGTGGAGTGGTGTACATTTAAGGTACACCTTTGGTGTACCCCTAACATCTCCCTGTTAAATCTACCTCCCACCCCCAAACAAACACAGTGTTAGCAAGGCTGTTCAGATTTGACACTTCGTTCGCTTGAAGAAGGGTAAGAAATTTCTACACATCAAACATTTATCAGTCCAAATGTTAAGTTTCATGCGCAGAATCTCCGTTCATCGCGGGAGAATTACATTGATTATTATTTCTCCAACGCAGAGACTTGGGTTTCTTCAACACGCCCCGTTTTCATCATCTATATCACCTCAATCCGGATCTGCCGATGCAAAAGGAGCCTCATTTGCCTGTTCTTACTTGATAAACGAATTAGGGTTCGATAAAGAAAAAGCCCTCTCCGCTTCCCGGCTTGTGAGATTCAAAACCCCAGATAAACCAGACTCCGTGCGCCAGTTCTTGAAAACCCATGGATTCTCCGATTCCCAGATCTCATATATGGTCAAAAGGTTCCCACAAATCCTCTCGTGCAAACCCAAGAAAACCCTCTTGCCCAAGCTTGATTTTTTCCAGTCTGCCGGGATCTCGCAGGAAGAAATCACAGATTTGTTCACAAGAGCACCACTTCTGTTCCGATTGAATGCCCGTGATAAACTGGTGCCTTCTTTTAATTATCTGAAGGGAATGTTTCGTTCGAATTCGGAAACTGTTGTAGCCATGAAGAGAATTTCGCTGAATGCCGGGAACCTGCGCCTCAACTTTAAGATGCTGGAGCATAACACTCAACTTCTGAGAGATGCAGGTGTGCCTCAATCTAACATTGATAAATTGTGGGGGCATAGTCCAAGGGTTTTAGCTGTAGATAGTGATAAATTTCTTGAGATTGTGGAGGGTGTGAAGGCCATGGGGTTTAACCCGAAAAAAGTAAAATTCCTTCTAGCAGTAAAGGCATTCACTGCATTGTCCAAGGACACTTGGCTGAAGAAGATAGAGGCTTACAAGAAGTGTGGGTTCTCTGAAGTGGAGATTCTTGAAGCTTTTGTGAAGTGCCCTTGGTGCATGATGGTCTCAACGGAGAAGATTGAAGCTCTGGTTGATTTTCTTTTTAACAAAATGGGTTTTGAAAAATCTGTGTTCTTGAAGAGGCCTTTGCTTTTCTCGTACAGCTTGGAGAAACGGGTTGTGCCTAGATGCCTCGTTTATCAAATCTTGGTAGCCAAGGGTTTGACGAAGAGCCGTTTAGGCACATTACTAGACGTTTCTGAGAAGAGATTTCTAAAAGATTACATTGAGTGCCATAAAGGTGAAGCTTCTGAACTGTTGAAAGTATACAAGGAAAAACGAGCCCTTGTCCAATGAATGTGGACCTGGATATGAAGGGGGAGCTTCATTGTAGCTTATAACTAGTACTATCTGCTATGGGCTGTTAAATAGTGGTAAAAATACAATTCTTGATTCTTTTTTTATCTATTATATTGACTATACCTGAACTACTCTCTGTTTCCTTGCATGATTGAATCTATTGAAGTGCAGACATCAGATTGATGTTCTGTTGAAGTTCATATGTTCCTTTAATATCATTCCTGGTGTAGTCTTCTTCTTCTTCAATCTTCTTCTTCTGCTATAATCAATTAATCCACTTGTTTATCCTGCCAGAATGATTTTTTTTACAAGGGTGACTTAAATACATCTTTGAACTCTATTAGAACTCTCTCTCTTTGATTTTCTAATCATAAGATTTTAGAGCGCAAGCCTCTGATTTTGCCATCCTAGAAGCCTCTAATTAGTATCCGTATCAAATTAAGTTGAATATTCATTGTTTACATGGTCAATTTTAATCATTTTCTTTGCATATTTTTGCTACTAATTTGATAAAATAATAATGTTTTCATCCCTTAATTCGCAGAACTTTAGAAGTAGTTTTAAAATGAACAAATTCCATAAATAGTCCCTTACTATATATGGTTTTCACGGTGTAATATTTGGTCTCCAAATCTAAAATACTTCCCCCGTCCCACAAAACATTACCTATTTTGATGTATTTTTGGTCAAACAGTTACACGTTTTGGTCATAAATTAAATATAATCTAAATAGAGATAAGTTATAAAAATTTGTTATATCAAAACAATCCAATTATATTAAATTTATATTATAATTTAATATATTTTTCTCACAATTTATAGTCAACGTGTGTAACTGTTTGACCAAATACTATTCTAAATAAAGAAATGTTAGAACCCTCTCTTTGATTTTCTAATCATAAGATTTAGAGCGGAAGCCTCTAATTAGTATCCTTATGAAATTAAGTGGCACATTTTCATTGTTCACGTGGTCAAACTTTAATTATTTTCTATGCCTATTTTTGTTAGTAATATGATAAAATAATAATATTCTCATCTCTAAATTCGCATAACTTTAGATGTAGTTTTAAAATTAATAAATTTCATAAATAGTCCTTAATTATATGTGGTTTTTATTGGGAGTAATATTTAGTCTCCAAATCTAAAATATTGTATGAATAATCTTCAATTTTTGAAAATTATTTCATAACTAGCCCTTTAATGGCTATATGTAGAAAAAATATTTTGTATTTGGCGTAAAGAACTACTTACGAAATGATTTTTAAAAATTGAGTATCTTTTAAGCAAAATATCTTAGAAATAAGAACTAAATGTGAAAAACTACCGTAATTAGTGACCATTTATGAAATTTATTTTTTTTAAAAAATATTTTGTACTCCCTCCGTTCCACAAAACTCTTCCTCTTTCGTTTTTTTTATTTCCCTAAAACACTTCCACTTTCTATTAAAAAAACACTTTTATCCCTTACTTTTTCATACCCTATCTATCACATTATACTTTTTTACTAACAATCAAACTATCACATCTTACTTTTACCCATCACATCAGGAGCAAAACTGGAAAATCAACCAAAATTATATTTTCCTTATTTTTGTCAAAAATCAAAAGTGGAAAGGTTTAAAGAAACGGAGGGAGTATAATATTTATTTCTTAATTTCACACCAATTTCTAAATAAATTGAATTGAAATACTTTAGACAAATATTTCAAACCAAGAATCGTAATTTTAATCGGGACAAATGGAGTATCATACAAAGAATACTGAGTATATTGGGTGTTGCCCTATCCACCCCATTATGACTACTAGCACCCCCATTTATAGTTAAATGGACATCTATGCCCCTAAAAATACCAGGGATATTAGATGTTAGCTAATTTTTAAGGACAAATTTGTCCATTTCACATAAATGGAGTAAATTTAGCTATTTTGGGAGGGAATATAGCAACACCACCTATACAGAGTATTTTATGATTCATAATTTATATTTCTATTTGCATTTGCGAGTTAAAATTTCCATCAGAATCAATTGTTAAGATTTTCATGGCACCAATTAGGTACATTTTTCCCATGGTTTAAAAAATTCAATTCCTATTGTATTGCATCCAGAAGAGTTCAAATCTTTCTTTCCTCGCAAAAAAAAAAGGAAAACCAAAAAATTTGTCATAGCTTCTGCTTCTTTTTGGATTTTTTCGTATATTCGCCGTCACAACGGTCCGACTTCTGCAAGAAAAAACAAACAGAAGTTGTCACATATCTGGAAATTGTCCAAATAGGGCAGCTAAACATAAGTGCAGAGTTGGATAAATCTGGAAATTAACAAGTCTGAAATCCAAATCACCACCTTGTGTATTTTGCTTTCTTTTTCTTTCTTCTTCGTCTTCTTTTTCAGCTTCTTCTTCTTCTTCTGTTTTTTACCCACACAAACTTTTACGTCTTCCCCTTCAGAAGAATCCTGCAAGGTTTACCTCTCTTCCGAAGTTCATAGCAGTAATTTTTTAAAAGAGTACAAATCGAAATGTGCAGTCATTGAGGTAGAATAAAGCACCTCATAATCACCAAAAGAATCCACGTGACGAATTACTCTTCCTGAACTCGATGTTCCACCTGTTTGTTACAAAGTGAAAGCATAATATCAATGTTATTGTGAGTGTACCTGACATTCACCCAACTAAAGGTACACACAAATGTTAATTGTTCTTCTAGAATAAATAAAGAAGACGAAGATGATTACAATAACGCTGTTCTTTGTAATACTTCAAAGAGTCGGATCAATGCCAACAACTATCGTAGACAAAGTGTATTGTTCAGAAAAGGAACAGAATGGTTACAGGACTAGGGCATGTGGCACATACATTGTCCTTAAACAAGACCTGGGTGCCTTTTATTCAAGTTATTTTTATCTTGAACATACTCATTTTAATAAAATCAAATGAGATCAAACCAACCGGAAACAATTAGACCAAATCAGACGAGAGACCAAGCACTTCATGTTATATTTCGGCCTTTTCGGGCAAGAAAATTAGGCAAAATAAAAAAGCATTTAGACCCAACCAGGCCAGAAAGATTTAGACCAAATGTGAAGAATTCAAATCAGATCACACTTATCATTTTTTTCCAGGCGAAGAAATCGTGTCCTTACTTCCACCCTCATTGCAAGCATATGTTACCCACATCATACAACAGTGTACAAACGATGAAAGTAGGCCTTTTAGTTTCACCACAATGAGAACTAGTAAAAAAAATGAGTACCAACTAAAAGATGAGAAAATGGGAAGAATTTAATCTGGCAGTATAAAATATATAAAATGCTAGGAGGATGCCAAAAATTTCAAACTATATTGACACCAAGCTTCTTAGTTTGTGTGCCTAAGAGAAGCTTGGTGTCAAAATAGTGTCAACATCTTGGTGTCCCCCCTAGCACAACTCATAGGATATAGATATGATAGAATGTTTTCGTGAGTCTGTCCAAAGGCTGGCCAGATTGAGTATTGTGTGTGCAGGGAAGTTGGCTCATTAATCTGAGTAAGTGAAACTCAGGAGATTATTACTCCCTCCGTCCATTATCTTTCTTCCCACGTTCCTTTTCGGTCTATCCAAAATCGGTCTATCCAAAATCTTTCTTCCCATTTCCTATAATGGCAACTATTCTAACTCTAAAAGACTTATTTAATATTTACCCTCACCTCTCATCCACAAACTTCCTCGTCTAGTCAATGTTATCTTAACTCTCGTTGCCCCCTCTGCCTCAACTTCCGATGTGTAGCCTTCTCTGTCTCAACCGCCTACGTTGATGCCGCCCCCTCCACCCAAATGCCCAATCACCGCTGCTGGAATCACCACAATTCTCCTCCCATCTTCGTCAACTTCTTGCAGCTTCGTCAACTTCATTCTTCTCCATCGATTTTGATTTTAGGCGTAACCNGGCAGCGATGAGGTTCAGGTAGGATTCAATTTTGATTTTGATGAAGAAGGCAAGATCCTTATAATTGGATGGCCTAATCCTCAAGAAGAAGTAGAAGAAAAACGAAAGAGAAGGGGATGATTTTTGGATTAGTACCATCAAAAAGAAAAAAAAAGTAAAGGAATGAGCACTTACTAGATTGGACAGTCTCTTTAGCATTTTTCACAGCGAGTTCGACAAGTCTTGGATCAACAGAAGACAATCCATTCGGCTCCTGCAGTTTTCTTTCCAGAAATTTCGCCAATGCAGCAGCCTTGTTCGTCTTCAACGGCCCGCCCGGATGAGCCTGCCTAAACACAAACCCTAATCGATACTTTATGCGTCAATGGTATAATACATTTGCCGCCGCAAGAGGTGGGGAGGATTACCTGATCGGAGGACGGGCCGGAGCGGCGGGAGGAAGAGGAGCGAATTTGCTTCCCCGAAGGGCTTTTCTCTCTTCTTCGGTCAGTTCTTCCATGAAATCTCTTGCCCAGAGCTGCTGCCGGCTACAACAATGGAGGGTACATACGTAATATAAGCTCTCCCTATTCCTCAGTTTGGTTACGGTAACGGTAAAGGTCCGTTTGGACGAATCTCATTGGGTCTGGGCGTCCGGATAGGATTCAAGTCAAACTACATTTTTTAAAAATTGTTTGAATTTGTAGTCCCTGCGTCCATAAATAAACTTCTTGTTCACTATTCACATGGTCAAACTTTATTCATTTTGTTAGTTTATTTTTGTCACCCATTTAATAAAATAATATAGTCATGTCACCTCTAGTTTTGTAGATCTTTTGATATTGTTTTTTAATATGTAATTTTTACTGTATTTTTAAATTTTACACCATTTTTCATATAAAATGACTTGAAAATAACTTCGGTCATACATCGTAACGCGTAATGAGAAGTTTATTTTTGGATGGAGGGAATATCTGTTTATCCAATCCGCTTTGATGTTAAGAACCGAGTATTAGATATGGGTTTATTGGGTCTCGGTATCGAGTGTCGACCTGATAAAAACCGATGTCTTGTGTACAATATAAAGTAGACATTAATGATAAAATCGTTATAAATATGAGAACTTATTTTGTTAGATATCGCATTGTATGTACTTTGTTCCTAATGTTGAAGCCTAAACGAAACTTTTTATGTAACTTTAAACTCTTCTTGACAAGAAACTGTACTCTCTTTGTACTGAATTTATCATCACAATTATTATTCTAGACTTTCGATAACTTTTGGTTGTTTGCATACTTTTGTTGATAGTTTGATAAGATAAGATAAGATATTTATTTCACATTTTGTTTTGTATAACTTTTATGTAGTTTTGAAAGTATAATTGGTACTTTTGATTTCTATACCAATTTAGAAATAAAATAATTTTAAAAGAGATGAAATATTGGACGTTGTTCGAACTGAAACGATAATTCTAGGACATAGACGATATTTAAAGGTTGGTTTAGAACCCAACTTTCAATGAAGAAAAAATGCAGATTTTTCTTACGAAAAAACTTCAGTGTTTGGAGGTCCTTTGTCTATAAATAGATTCTTTAACGTGTGAGAGGAGATATTAATCATTTTTAATCAACCAATATACAAAAACCAAGTAAACAGAATTTTACTGAGGGATTAACCTAATATATTTGTGACAATAAAAAAAATTAGCCTAACCCTTGTTATAATCTCTGTGGGGCACTGCAGCAAGGTCTTTTTGTATAGACAAAAAAACATCACAAGTCCAAGAAACAAGGCGCCAAAAAAGGAGGCAAATGGCTCCAAAAGTATTGATAATTGTGACACCTTTTTGAATTCCCCTTCTATCTTTTCAGATTGATCAATCAACCAACCAAATTATAATCCCACCATAAATTCTTCCATAAACCAGTGATTCATTTCCCAACCCACACCCAAAACAAACAAACAAAAAAAAAAACAGAGAAACAAAATCATCAAAACCAGCAAAAACAACAAATCAAAGGATGTCTGGAGGAATCAAGGTTGGGCACATTGATGATGTCCAAGAACTGAGTGCAACTAATCCCTCTCACATCCCAGAAAGATTCATCAGAGACATTTCAGAAAGGCCTTTTTCTTCTTCTTCTTCTTCTTCAAGTGACCTTAAAATCCCAGTCATAGATCTGTCAAAACTGACCATGGAGGACAAGAACAACTCCCCAGACTTCCACTCTGAGATGCAGAAGCTCACTGCTGCCTGTCAAGACTGGGGATTTTTCCAGGTGGTGAAGCATGGGGTGGAGGAGGGGCTAGTGGAGAGGATGGAGAAGGCGGCCATGGAGTTTTTCAGGCTGCCTGTGGAGGAGAAGCAGAAATACCCAATGGTTCCTGGGACAGTGCAGGGGTATGGGCAGGCATTTGTGTTCTCAGAGGACCAGAAACTGGATTGGTGCAACATGTTTGCACTTGGGATTTTGCCACATTCCATTAGGTGCCCTCATCTCTGGCCCTCCAAACCACCCACATTCAGGTATATATGTATCCAACTTGATTGGTTTGGTTTGAGCTTAATATTAATAGTCCCTTTCTATTTGACTCGGCACGGTTATAAGGACACGTACGGTCGCGTTGGTAAGATTTCTTTGAGGGTCAGTTTGGTACACGGAAGTGTTGGAACACGTCAATCACGATTACATATTTTTCTCTAAAAAAGTTCCGAGCCAGTTTAAAATGTTAAATTTTAGAACGGGTGAAATGTGACTCTCTTTAAGAGGGATGATATTTTCTGGCAAGAACATTTTTGTTTTGTTTTTCTACTATAATAATCCCTCTGTCCTAAATCTTATCAAATTGATTTTCTATATAGTTTTTAATTAGAGTTGAAAAAAAGTAGAAGTCTACCAAATTTTTTTAATTAAAGTAGGTGGATTGTATTAAATGAGGTATAATAAATAAAACAAGTATAGATAGTTGTGGCATTTTAAGCTTTAGACAAGATAATGAAAAGATATTTCCCGAACAAAAAAAACATTTTGGAAGATTTATGGACGAATGGAGTATTATACGGTGTAATATGGAGCAGTGCCTATAATCCTATACTAATATCATTGTGTATGTCTATTTTAACTTTTTAGTGTCAAACTAAATAAACTTTCAATTAAATAAAAGTTATACGGAGTATTATACATTATATTAGTATGGAGTATGAAAAAAGTACCGAGGATATATAATTATATCTATCTTGCAAAATAATTTCAAAAAAACATTTAATTTTTTTAAGATACTCCGTACTACTTAATTAATACAGAATATTTATTTAATTGATAATGAAAATTTGTTTAATTTAACTGAAAAAGTCAAACTGCACAAACTCAACTCATTGAGACGCAGGAAGTAATATTACCTGGAAAAATCCTTGTGAGAAATTAAAATGTTGCAGTGAGACATTGGAGGCGTACTCGAAAGAAGTGAGGGAACTGTGCAAACAAGTGCTGAAATGCATAGCCACGAGTTTGGGAGAGAGGGAGAATGTGTTCGGAGAAATGTTCGGCGCCGCCGTACAGGCGGTGAGGATGAACTACTACCCGCCGTGTCCGTCGCCGGAGCTGGTCATGGGGCTGAGCCCCCACTCGGATGGGAGCGCGCTGACGGTGCTGCAGCAGGGCCTGTTTGGCAACTCCGTTGGACTTGAGATTCTTAAAGGCAGTTGTTGGGTCCCTGTTCGACCCCTTCCAAACGCTCTTGTCATTAACATTGGCGACACCATCGAGGTTATTATACAATGCACTTTTTTTTTTTTTGTGGGGGTGGGGTGGAGGGCTTAGAAGTCTTTTTTTACTCCGTAATATAATGGTTTTTTTTATTATTTTTACCTCTGTCTAGATTTTGGGTTTTTTTAATTAGCTTTTTTAAATCTTGATTAATTATGATACTCCTGTCTCTAAAAGATTGATATACTTTGACTTTTTTGTCAAATTGTGACACCCTTTAATCACGAATTAAATATAGTTTATACTCTCTCCGTCCCAAATTATTTGCAACGTTTGCTTTTTCTGCAATCGCAGAAACTTTTGTTTATTTCTACGTTTTCATTGGTTATTTGATAAAATAAAATATTCTTGCCACCTCTTATTTTGAAGAACTTTTCATGTAGTTTTTTGATATGTAAATTTTATTTTTTATTTCTATACCAATATGTAAATAAAATGAATTGAAAAAAATTGATATTTTGCCTCGGAAATACAAATGTGGTATATATTTAGGGACGGAGGGAGTAATAATTAATATTATAAAAATTTGATATTTCAAAATTATATTTTAAAATAAATACAATTTTACTAAATTTATATCATATCAAAATGTAATTTTTTCATAATTTACGGTTAAAGAATGTCACAATTTGATCAAACTGTGACAACCTTTTAAAAACGGAGGAAGCATAAATTTAATATGAATATATTTACTTTAAAATCTAATTTTAAAATACCATACCTTTGTATTAATATGAAACACAAATTTATTTATTTGGGGATCAATGTTAATTCAATTTCAGTATTTAAAAATTTAAAATGCATAAATATTATGAGAAAGAGAAAAATATTTCATAAATAATAGTAGTACGCATTAATATACTCTCTCTGTTCAAAAGATTACTCCTCTCTCTTTTTGGATGTTTTGAAAAAATACACCTTACCGTGTGGGAAAATGATTGAAATAGAACTAAAACTTACCAAAAAGAACAAAATGAGACCTTCATATTCTATTTATAAAATAGGAGTTATAATGTCAACATATAATACCAAAAATTATTGTGAAATTTCAATATACAATATTCCATCCGTCCTTCATATATCTTCTCAAACATTATCTATAAGGTCAAATATTTTTGCTTATTTTTACTAATTATTTCATAAAATAATATAGTCTTGACACGTTTATTTTTCTAAAACTTTTTATGTAATTTTTCACTTTATAAATTTTATGTTTAAATTTTATACCTACTTCTCATTTAATTTATTTCTAATACATTATTTTTCATACTATAGTACGGAGTACATGATTTTTAAAACTTTAACGTTAGCGGGTCAGTCAGGTCGGGTTTGGATTTGGTCGGATTTGACGTATTTTTAGTGGGTCATTTCGGGTTCGGTCAAGTAAATTTTGGTTCAAAATCTAGTATCTTCAGTTTGGTCTTGGGTCAAAAACAGATAAAGTCAAATTTTGTCAGATCTCATCGTGGCGGTCATGTCACAGGTTTTTCGAGACAGCCTGAGCTGTTCCGTGTTATTTCAAGTTTTTGAGTGATTCGACCAAATTGGTTTGGTGTCTCGTTGCCGGTCCAAGGGACAGATCGGGTTTGATTTCAATAAAATTGGTTTGAAAAATCTTTTTATTTTTTCAGTTTTTGAAAAAAAAACATACTCCCTCCGTCCCGAAGTATTCGTCCAGTTTTGACTTTTGAAATTGTTCATCTAAGCATTTTGACTCATCAAATTCTCTCAATGTGTAAGCCTAAATATAGTCATGTGTGATCTTGTTTGATTTGTCTTAACATATAGATTATTAATATATAATTTCTATAATTTTTTAATATACAAATTACAAGATAAAATGGATTAAAGAGGTGTATTGGATGGTGTGTAAAAATGAAAGTGGACAAATACTCTGGGACGGAGGTAGTATTTATGAATGCATAATCCAAATTGGATGGTGCAGGTTCTAACAAATGGAAGATACAAAAGTGTGGAACATAGGGCAGTGACCCACAAGGAAAAGGACAGGCTCTCAATAGTCACCTTTTATGCCCCATCCTACGAAATAGAGTTGGGCCCATTGCCGGGCCTTGTGGATCAAACCCACAACCCGCCCAAATACAAACGTTATAACCACGGAGATTACAGCAGGCATTACGTCACCAATAAGCTTCAAGGCAAGAAAACCTTAGACTTTGCCAAGATTATCTGAAATTGATTTTTCGATTCAGCTATGCAGTATACGTATTTGTTAAATTTGACATTTTCAAGTTAAATTAGACAAACTTTAAGTTTCAATTACTCCCGATTTGTATTACATATTACTCGAGTTTTACGATGAAATAAAATTTTTATAGTTTTCAATAAAATAAATCTAATAAATTTATTTTTTTTTACAAATATATATCATGATTTTTATTTAATTGAAAATCAAGTTCATGCAGTTTCACTCAAAAAAATAAAATTGAAAAATACATTAGAACAGATAGAATAATATGGAGTAATAATAATTAATAATTACTCGTCATATGTCATTAATTAGTGTGGTGCCACTCTTTCACCCCAGTATATAATTTATGATGGGCTTGATTTACACTTTGGAGATAAATCCCAACTCCCAAGTTTCCTCAGCCCATCTATTTAAACGTACATTTAAATAGATGATCAAAAATTTGATTAAAGTTTGCATTCATATCAATCTAAATAACGACAAATTATACTCGTATTTGTTTGAAATAAATATTATCCAAATTTAATTACTAATATTCAAACTATAAATGTATGTACACACACATATATATATATACACACACACACACTGACACACACATCTTAGTGTGTGTATCAATTATTTTTATTTCAGATATCTTGTGGTCCAACGAAACCATTTTGACTCTCCAAATAAAAGATCACATGTTCGAACCCAGTAAAAGTAGTAATTCTCCAAACTCCTATAGGTTGAAAAAAAAATAAACAAACACTATATTGTAATAGAATTATTATTATTATTAATAAAAACTGTATTACAAGTGTATGCTAAAAAAATTTTAAAAATATTTTACATAAACTTTATGTTTTAAACAAAGGTTGGTATTTTTAAAAGTGAATAATATATTAATTGCTATAGTACTGTTTGATAGTTTTTCCATATTTTTAATGCGGTGTTTTAGAATATATATAGAAATTCCACATGCATGTAAATGCATGCAAAATTGTGTATGTTGTGTAATTTTCTATGGCAAATTCGTATGTAACCCTTAGACTCATTCTTTTAAATATCTACGGAGTACTACGCAGGTTATAAATTATAATAATAAACAAATTAAAGAATATATTATCAAAAAAGGAAAAACATTACCAAATTTAAATTGAATATAAATATTAAAATAATTATATATGCATATACTCACTCTGTCCCAGTGTATTTGTCTAGTTTGATTTTTTTGAGTCAAACTGGACAAACTTTGAGCTTGAATTAAATAAAAATGGTAATGTATTTTAACATAAAAATGACTTTATTGAATTTATTGTATTGAGAATTTTCAAAATTATATTTCATTATGCTAATATGCAATATAAATTGAAAGTAATTGGAGTTCAAAGTTTATCTAGTTTGACTTAAAAAGTCAAATTGAACAAATACACTAGAACGGAGGTAGTATTTCGTAATATAATGTGACTTTCAAAAGTTAGAAATGGATGTAAGGTTCTATTCACACCCTACCTTTATTTTTTACTACGGAGTATAAAAAGTTGGTCTAGCCTGCTCTTGACTCGATACCTAATCAATCAAGCATAATTAGATTTTAAACAAAAATTTTGTTAGTCGAAGTTGAAATGACCTATTAGAAATGGATCAAATCTGAATGAATCCGACTGTATTAACTTGCTAGAAATGGATCAAATCTGATTAAAAATTCACTGCACCCCAATGTTGATTTTTTTTTGCAGCTTTTCTTTAATTACCACAGCTTTATTTCGAATGGGCATATTGATTATTCAGGAAGGCCTTTTTGGGCATATTTACGTTTTCTTCCAACTCATCTAGACCATTAAGTGAAGAAGCACGAGGAGAATATAATGTTAATTGGGTTATTATTATATTCAAGCATCTAAAACTCCAACAACAACAATTTGTTTAGCTTTTGACAATAGAGTTGTGCTACAAGACAAACTAGTGACACCACCTTGATCCCATGTTTCACACAAAAAATATTCATATAGTCTATATATGTGCACACAGAACATTATTGTTTTTATGTGTCTGTGTGATACATGGGATCAAAGTGCTGTCACCATTTTAGTGTCTCCGATTCAAGCTTTTTTCTTTCGGAGTATATAAGCAGTACCACAAACATGTACTTCATCCGTCCAACAATAAACTTCTCGTTTGAACAACGTACAAAATCCCATCTTTTTTAAAATCACTTTATATTTACAAATTGGTATATCATAAAAAGATCAAAATAACATTGTTCAATACTGCATCAAAAGTTCTAGAAAGCAAGATGTGACACGAATATTTTATCTTATCAAATGATTGATGAAAATATGCAATCAAACATGAGTTATCGAGAAGCCGTAATAGTAACTGAGAAATTTATTGTTTGACCGGAGTGAGTCTTTTTTTAGAGTTGCACGCCAAATTTCTGACCATATCAATTTCGTACTCCCTCCGTCTCATAAAGATAAGAACCTTTCTTAAAATAAGGAACTTGAATTAAACTCGATAAAATTGTTTGTCTTTTATTGGGGGAGAAGAGAGAATTTGTCAAAGCTCTCAGATTGAATTGGTTTTCTTTCATGATGGGAAAGAAGACAAGGAATAAGAGAGAAGATAACACTTGATTCAAACATGGTTTCCTTATTAACTTATTCATTAACGTCCTAATGACTTCTACTTTAATCTTATTACTTTAGATGTGTTGACAACTCAGTATTTCATATTTTATGTCAACCAAAACAATTCAATGTAATTAAGCTCAAAATTGGCCGAGCGGAGCTAGCTATAGTTGTGATTAAAATCTGATTCTCAAAGAATGTGTGCAGAAGAGAATCTGAGAGTAATATTGTATAATCTGCTAAATCTAAACCTTATTTTTATTCTTACAACTGACCCTGATCTGTTGTTATACCTACTTATGTCTCCCCCTCCTCATCCCCTAACAAGGCTTGTCCAAAGGTGGGCCAAGATGCCCTCCCAGCCTAGACATGTTTTTTAAAGACCTAATCTTTCTTAATTTTAAATATATATTACTCCGTATATAAAAATAATGTTAATTGTTGTATTAAAAGTATCGTTGATATCATTTCATTTGATAGAGCTACGAGCTTATTTTTTTGTCTCGTCCAGAATTTTCGAAACCTCGGGCCGCCCCTGGCCCCTGACTATCAATATTGTTGTCGACCACATCTGCCATTCATATCCATCGATATGATTGACTTCCACCAACCACATTGTCGCAATTGCCCGCCGCCATAACCAACTAACGTCATATACTTATCATCACAACATTCGAAGATGTAACTACATGAAGTGATCTCGACATAAAAAAAACAAGAAGAAAAAAAATACAAAGCTAACAACCTAAACCAAAAACATAAAGCGACTCTATATTACGGATTACTTTTAACTATTAAAGCCTATAGAATGAGAGAGACTTGGAAACATAATCGGAGATTGAACATTTGGACCTTGAGTCATAAATATTCTCTCTATATTAGAAGAGCTCTCTCCCCCACCACGACCGTACACCCCCGGCACGCAACGACTAGCGAGAGAAAATAAAAAAAAGTCTCACCTTTTTCCTCTGATTTTGCGTCCGCCCCATCAATTTCGAGTCCATGAAGCATCAAGCTTCTGCTCCGCAACAACCCAGACCCAGGTACATGCTTCCCTCTCTTTTCCACATATGGTATTGTATGAAAACAGTGTTTGGGTTCATGTGTGGCGCATCTGTTGTCTTTTCTTGGTCTTTGTTTGTTATGCATTTGGAAACTCCGAGACGGCAAGACCCATATCTGCGTTTTTTAAATTCATGGTGCTCTCTAGATGTTTGCATATATGCTTGTTCGCAGCAATGGTTCGGTTTCTTGGCTGTGAAGCACGACTGAGTTAAGTGGGCAATGGGAGTCTTTGGGGAGTTTGATTTTGGTGGGATCGCCTCCTCCGGGATTTGCTCTGTGGAGATGGGTCGTTAGGGGACTTGGATATTCTGTGCTCTGTGTGATATGCATTGTTCTGGTTTTCGTTCTCGTGTTTTCTTTCTGGCTTCTGGGTATGAGGTTCTTGATTTGTGTTTTTTTTTGCGTTGCGTTGGTTTGGTTGGATTGGTGAGAAGGTCTCTCTGTGGAGTTTGTGGTGCTGGTTTTTAGTTTGTGGTTTTTTTGTTGTTCTTGGAAAATGGATCTGGGATTTGATAAATAATGAATTTTTTTTCTTGTTTAGATGAATAACGAGTTTATAAACTATGCTGTGTAATTGACTTACACAATATGGTTTAGCCTTTAGCTTAAATTTAATACTTTGCTTTCACATTTCTCTATGTAATGTTCATGAGCACCCTTCCAACTACTTGATCAATACCCCATAGTAGCCTAAATGTTGAAAATACAAATCTAGCACAAGAAATCTTAATAAACTATATCATTAGAAAATAACATACACACATACATGCGAGTGGATATGCATCCGTATAAATATGTATTCTTAGGCAGCTGGCTTTGTATAGGCAGCTTGGTTTCCTTATGACATTAGGTTGTTAAAACAACACAATATAATATTATATTTTTGGCAATGTTGAAGAAGTTGTTAGGAGCTCTTCTTTAGGCGACAAACAAGCACATAGTGTCAAGGCACATTGCCTCAAAAAATTAAGTGTTTAAGAGCACCGAGCATAGGCATTAGTGCAATTAGCAAGCCTTTGAGTTTTTAAGTTGACTTGAGTAATTTAAGTCCTTCAAATGCACAAAAAGAATAATCTAGTAGTCGGGCAATGAGTGTGTGGTGCTCACGTTTTTGTCCACACTACATAGGCTCCTAAGTCCTAACCCCTAAAAATATTCAAGGTTTCAAAAGGTAAGATCGGGTCCTGAGGCGGTTGGCCATTGCATCAAGAGGCGTAAGCCTCGAATTAATATAGATATAATACTAGTAGTAGTTGTAATAATAGCATTAGTAATAATAATAATAATAGTAATGATAATGATGATAATAATAATAGTAATAGTAATAATAATAACCACAACAACAACATTACAACAACAACAACAACCCAGTTAAATCCCACAAGAGTAGGGCCTGGGGAGGGTGTGTGTACGCAGACCTTGCCCCTACTCGAAAGTAGAGAGGCTGTTTCCAAAGAGACCCCCGGCTCAACGTCGAAAGTTGCATTGTTTGACTAACTGCTACTTCATTAATTAAAGAAGCGCAGATAGTTTAGAGATCCATTTTGATTTATTCCATCACACCCCAAAGCCAAAAATGGTGAAATTTTGGCTCCATCGGAGATAATGGAAAAAACCACAACAACAACATTGTTATAAGAAAATAATAATACAACAACATTGTCAAGATGGACTTAGTATTATTCATGTATAATGTACCTTTTTTTATTTAGTCCAATATATGCCGAAACTAAATCATTGTCAATCTCCATTAGCAATGGACGGGTATAAGAAAATTATTGTAACAACAACAATACCCACAAAAGTAGTACGAGTAATAATAATAATAATAATAATAATAATAATAATAATAATAATAATAAAAATAGTAATAGTAATAATAACAACAACAACAACAACAATAGTAATAATAATAAGCCTCATTTCCATTTTCTTCCATATCACGATCCTCATTGCTTATATCATTCATTCACAATGATGCCATCCTTTAGCTTAGCATTTGTTCATCATCATCATCATCACCATTGTAAAAAGCTCTAAATATTGCTCATTTGGATGTATTTGATGATGAGAAAATATTCTCTCTTGCATAGTATACAATCTTCATCTATGCCACATTAATGGGTACTATAAGGGCATCGAGAAGAGAGAGAGAGATGGGTTGTTGTAGAAAAGAAAAAATTGTGGGGCATATTGCGTTGGCTAACCAAAAGATAAACAATACAAGTTTGGTATTGTATCTTCAATAGTGGAAATTTAATGAATTAAATAATGGTAGCAAAGAACCAACATGATAAATATTTGCTAATCAAGTGACCATACATATCACATCAAATCCCATATAGCACGAGAGGACCAATCACATTGGGTTTACCGGCCACTTTATTTGAGGAAAGATTGAATTTGGACACATTATCACAACCAATTGTTAACATAGACAACTAGTTTTGAGACATGGGAGCGAAGAGGCAACACATTTATTGTGTGATGATCAACACACAAAATCAGCTTGCAAACATCTTAACGAAATCTCTCGTAGGTGTGAATAAAACATATATGTAACAAGCTTAGTCCAACAACAAAAGCATCACCATCCAACCCGGTAAATCCCACGAGTGAGGATTTGGGGAGTGGATGTACACATGCCTTACCTCTACCCTAGAAAGGTATAGAGGTTGTTTTCCAAAAAACAAAAAGCCCAGTGTAACAAGCTTAGTCCATATGATTTATACGCTCCAACTTGAGGAGAGTATGGAGAAGATTTTTAGCTTATTGTCATTTTGGATTATACACATTTTATTCATTAGTTAAATTTATTGTCGTTTTAATTTGTTTAATTTTCTTGAACTATTTTTACAATTTCAAAATATGGTTTGTTGTGTTTACTAGAATATTTATTTATTTTTAAATGGAATGAATTTATTTTATAACCCCTAGTTATGCAATTGAGCACTTTGTTTCCTTGTTAACTTTTGTGGAAAGAGTCCTTGTTTATACTTCTTTGTGGCGGTGCTGCAACCTTATTTTCTGTGACACTTTGTCCTATAGTGGAATCACTAGAACTATCCCCTAAGGTTCAACTAACCAAAAATGGAATTGCAAGTGCAAAGGTAATAAAAAGAGACTGAAATTACTATAGGACTAACACAAAAATAGAAATTTACTCTTTTTAGTTATAGAAATTTTAATTACTAGAATTTATTAGATATTACAAAAAATTGAGTGCAAATAATTTCTTCAAGCCTCATCATGTCATACACTTTGGGATGCGGAGCTAGAAAACTCAAGCACCCTCATATCATAGTCATAATCCAAAATATAGAGTACAACATTATTATTACAATCAATAATTGTATTTTTGGTATTACATCATATCTTACTCTATAGCTTGTGGGCTTTGGACCTAGGTGTTTGAGTTGGTGTTTGCTTCTTCTCTTTTTTATCGTTCTTCGTTAGTGTTATTGTGGTTTGTTTATTTGTACTCATGTGCTTGAGCCAAGGGTCAGTTGGAAACAGCATCTCTACTTCCAAGTAGGGGTAAGGATTGCACACACTCACCTCCCTCAGACCCTACTTTTTGTGGGATTTAACTAGGTTTCTTGTTGTATTAATAGAATCAATATGTGCAATGTGCTTGCTTTCTCAGGTATCTATATATTATCTCTGTCCCAAATTAAACTTCTAGTTTGCTTTTTCACGGTGTTTAAGGAAAAGTGAAATTGTTTGGTTGAGATTTATGTAGAGGAGATAGAATTAATGTGGACCTCACCCAATCCATTCCTTTAAAGGATTGAGAAGTTTATTTTGGGACAACCGAAAAAGGAAAGTGAGAAGTTTATTATGGGACAGAGTGAGTTTTAGCTTTCACTTTGTTAGTGGCTTGTGACTATTCATCATCTGCTGGATCTTAAACCCCTTAGTTTCAGTTGTCTTTAATAAGTTAATTTGGAATTAATTTGAATGTTATGATTTATGGGACCAGAGAAAAATATTTTTCCTTTTATAGAGATATTGAGTTGATATTAATGCATCTCATGAAGTTTCTCAATATCTTGTCAATCTCTTTTTTTTGGGGGTCATCAACAGATGATGATTTATTAGCACTTTGCTGAATAATAGAAAAATAAGAAAAGCATTTCCACTGAATGATTGTTTTCTGTGAGAACCGTTTAATGGACACTGCTAAAGCACGATATAGAACAGAAAGGTCTGATTTACTGTCTATTGTTAACTTATGCTATGCATTGGCCCTTTTCATTCACTTTTATGTATTACAACCAAAACCGTTAAATGCTATAACAAGACGTGTTACACTTAACACTATTACAGTCTGTCATAGTCTAGATATCATTCTATTTTTAAAGTTGGGTTACTTTCGAATTTCCTTAACTTTTTCTTCTATAAAATCTTTGATTCTTAAGCATATCTACTCCGACAGGTTCCTAGTCAATTTGTATAAATATTGAGATTGAGGCTTTTGCTTTCTTACCCATCTGTTTCTTATTATATAATCTTAGGTCTTGTACTCTAATATGTTTTTCTTCACATCTCAATAAGCAAACTTTATCTGACCAGTGAATCTAGTTCCCTTCCCCTGTATATTGAACACCGTGAAATGTATGATCACTTAGAACCCAGGTACAAAATTCAAACCCATCCCATGCCTCCATCCCCTTTTCTTTCCATCGTTCACAGACATTAAGAAATCTTAACATGTCATAACATGTGTTTATAAAGGTGGATTTTTTTATGTGTGTGTACATGTATAGTATTAGATCTAAATGGGAAATGTAATCCATATACTGAAATAAATTAGACTGGGATTAGAACTTCGCTGAGCTGTATCTATTAGCTTTTTAAAAAGATCTACGTTTTTCCGTGGAATCCTACATGATCAGTTCCCTCAGTCCTCCTTCTATCACGCACCTCGCCAGACGGCCAGTTCCTCAGAGAGCATATTTTGGCAACTTGAATGCGTGTATGTCTTTAGTCCTTGTTAATTATCTATGGGCATGACATCATCGTACTTATATAAATGCTCTTATTTATCTGAGACACGACCTAGGTAGAGGGGCTCTTGAGGTGTTTGTGGAGTTTGATTGTGATGGCATCACTTTGGGTATCTGTTGTTAGGTGATGGCTTACCCCAAGCTTGTTAAGAGTCTGTCTTTTTGCACACAACCATATATGCTTTTCTCTATTCATGCTGTTGTGTTATTTCTCACATTGGATTTGTTTTTGTTTGAAAGGGATTTGGGAGTTGTAGATCTTGTTATGTGCTTAAAGCCTTGAAAAATAATTATTGTCATCTTAGCAGTTATCATTTGGTGTAGATATGTGTTCTTTTTTAGGGGAGGTGGAGGGATGAATTGCGAGTGATTGGATATTTGCATTGCATTTATTTGTTTATATTTATGATAATGCAACTCCATTTGTCTAATATTTGGTCAAAGCTTTTTATTTCCTGGTCTTTCCCTATCAAGACGCAGTTGGATTCATGTTTTGTGTATATAATATTAGAAGTTATTTTCCGATGTTTTCCTCTTTTTAATTACGGAGTATTTTTTTATTTTATTTCTTGTTAATTTTAGGAGGAATAAAAAGATCGGTTGCTTTTATGATTACATTAATGTTTCTAAATGACTATCTTATCCCTCTGTTATCGTGGATTTCAAGCGATAAATAGATGAAGAAGCGACAAAAGTCTTCCAGTACATTTATTGAAAAACGCGAAAAGCGTTCTCAAGAAGCGGTGGTACTCATGTATCCTCAGTAAGAACTCCTCAGACGGCTCTGCTTTCGCACAGTAGAGAACAAAAAGCAGGCTGTTTCTTCCATTTAAGGTGAGCATTATTTCATGCATATCCCTTATATTTGATTCTTACCGATTCAAGACGGGAATAATAATTGTGAAAAAATGAACTGGTATTGCTTTGCAATTGATTCAATCTATTCCGCTTTGTTTACCATTTAAGGTATCCATAATTTCCACTTTAACAAATCTTTCTTATAATATTTTCTTTGATTCTTTCGTATTTGCTAACAATCTGAGTTAAATTATTTTAGTTTCTTTGTATGGTAGGCATTGCGACTCTGCCTTGCTTTAATAGATTTGCTTTAATACAGTTTACTTCGGTGTTTGTGTGTACAAAATCCGTATTAGCTTTTTCTCTTCTATGGGTTCAATTCAAATAAAATGGAATGCAGGTTGTGTTGACGACATGGCTGCTGGGAAGTTACTCCCAACTGATTCCCCTAAAGCTGGTGGCGTGTTTGGGGAGCCACAGATATTCCCTCGAGTGGGGGAACAGTATCAGGTTGATATTCCACCATATACACAGAATTGGACTGATGATGATGACTCTTGGGATGTATTTGTTGGACTGCACATACCTTTAAGGTGGGCAAATCTAGGAGGAAAAACAACCCAAAAACTGGATGCTTCACAAATTGCATCTAGTAGCAGTGGACCTAAATCATCGCCAGATATTATCTTGGAGGATGGAAAGTTAATAAATGCATCCATTGAGGATAAACAACCGAAAGGGGAATGTCCAGGCTACTGTTTACTTCCCGATGGCATTGTTGATCCGTGGACTAAAAATGAGAAGGCAGGTTTCCTCCTTGGTCTCTATGTATTTGAGAAAGATTTTACTCACTTGAAAAGGTTTATTCAAACTAAAAAGGCCTGTGACATAATGTCATATTATTATGGGGAGTTTTATGGATCTGATGAGTACCGTAGATGGTCAGACGGTCGAAAAGTTAGAAGCCGGAAGTGTGTGTATGGGCAAAAACTTTTTACTGGATCAAGGCTGCAGGAACTGTTAGGTCGCTTACTCCCTCACATGTCAGCAGAGCGCCAAAATGAATTGTTGGAGGTAATTTTATCATTGCTAAACTTCTGTTGAACTGGAATTGGTTATTGGTTTCTCTTTTGTACCTTCATGTGCTTTTGTAGTACCCATGTTGTCATTTTATCTCCTTTCATCTACAGATCTACTACTACTTAAGAATGAGTTATTAGTTGGGAGTTGATTTTTATCTTTAAATATGTGCGTAAAAGGCCAAATTCTCTCAATGGGAGCCTTTTAGTAAACTATTAGCACTTGTTTGTGTGGTGTCCGTGTTAATATATCCTTCTTTCATCACATCTTTATATTTGAAGTGTGTAGATTTCATTTCTTCTTGGAAGAAGGAATTAGTTGAATCAATACATTCAGTAGCATTGGTTGGAAAATGGAAAAAATTTACTTCTAATGCCATACTCCCTTTTAACTTGTTTTCCCCTCCTTATGGTTGCAGGCTCCAGCTTGGCAGTTCTTAAATATATCATGGCTTTTATACCTTCTCTTTTATACCTTGCATACCAGTTTATCCAGTGAAATTAGGAGTACACATGCACTAAAATAGAAATAATGACATAAATTGAAATTAGTAGTAAATATGGAAGGCATATATCTTTTCTCTCATTCCACTTAAGGGGATGAATTCTTTTAGTATGAGTCGTATGACTATTGACTAGTCAACCAAGAATGCAAATTACATCCATGAGACATATATGGTCTTCTTCTCCCTATTGGATTTTGTATTTCATGTTTCTGTTTATAAAAATAGGAAGGAAGTTACAGATGTATAACTATCTTGACTAGTTGCCATTGGTATATTAGTCTCGCTTTTCATGCTCTGTAATTTTCTTTTTCTTCATAGTTCATATTGCATTTAGCGCTAATTTCATTCTGACTATTCAATTCTTTAAGAAAATTGTACTCCCTCCATCCCAACTTTGGTTTACGGTATATTATGTTTGATCAAAGTTATTTTCAATAAAATTTATTTGAATATTGAGGTAAAATTTAAAAAAAATAAAATTTACAAACGAGTATTTAAAAACTATCTCAAAAGTTTTATAAAACAAGAGGTGACATGTCTATTTTATTATACCAATTTATTAATGTAAATAAGTGAAGAAAGAAGAAATGTCTTTGACTTGTGAATAGCGAAAGTGATTTTTATTTAGGGGCAAAAGGAGTGTAAGCTATATATCTCTTTTGGAATCTGTTTTTGATAGCTTGTCATTTTACAGCTCTCCAAAACATTTGGGGAGGGAAAAGTGCAATTGGAAGAGTTTGTCTTTACATTGAAGCATATGGTGGGAATGGCCAGTCTCATAGAAGCAGTTGGAATAGGCCAAGGAAAACAAGATCTCACAAATATGGCCTTAGAACATACAAGGCCCAATCATGTCATTACCGTGCGTTCAGAGGTACCAATTGGCAAAGCTTGCGCCTCTCTTAAACCGGCTGAAATTATCAAGTATCTGACTGGAGGTTGTAGACTGAGCAAAACACGGTCTAATGACTTATTTTGGGAGGCCGTGTGGCCACGTTTACTGGCAAGAGGTTGGCATTCTGAGCAACCTAAAAACATGGCTTATGCTGCTGCTACTGGTTCCAAGCAGAGCTTAGTTTTTCTCATGCCTGATGTTAAAAAGTTTTCTCGGAAACTCATCAAGGGGAGCCATTATTTTGACTCTGTTACAGATGTTCTGAGCAAAGTTGCTTCTGAACCTAAATGGATTGACCTTGATACAGATGATCAAGGTGGTAAAAAGAAACAAGAAGATGAAGGAGGGGATGATGGATCAAAGATGGACACGGACGATCTGTCTACGATGAGATGTCACTCTTATCTTCAACCAAGAACTCCTAACCAATATACAGATGACATTAAATTTACTGTTGTTGATACCAGCCTTTGCAGCTCTAAACCCTACAAAGTGAGAAATTTGAGCAGCTTGCCGTTGGAAATTTCAAGAAAATTGTGCCCTCAAATTCATTTTGAGGGCAAGTCGAAGGACAACAATGTTGATAACATGTCCCTTGATCAAACTGATAACATGTCCCTTGATCAAACTGAGCCAGTTCGCGCTGGATCCAATACAAGCTTACCTAGTAGGGAAAGATCTTTCCACAGGAAAGATCATGAAGTGGGTGCTACAAATCGGAAGGTGTCACATTTTAGAAACCAAGCGCTCCATGCTGACAATACTTTGAACAATGAAGATCTTTGTGAAGATTCGAAGTCAAGAAAGTTGTTGAAACCCTGCATTGGCCGTAAAGTGAAAAAAGAAAATGCAGACAATACAGGGCATGTTTCCAAACGACCCCGGGGACTAACTGCTGGTAGTCACACAGAGACAAAAAATATAAGCTGTGTTTCCAGAGAGGAGGCGCCAAGTTGTTGTTTAAGCATGAATAATATGCCTTCAAGCAATGCTCTGCAGACGAATTCCAACGAGGATAGAATATCATCCAATGTTTCATCAAAAAGCAGTCCTTCTGAGAGCATTGAACGCGTGGCTGTTAATAAATTTTGTGTTGCAGAAGTGTCTCCTGCAGAACATCGACCAAAGGTCTTGATTGACCTTAATGTGCTTCCAGACTCGCCAGGTTCTGAAAATGGAGTTGCCGTAACAGATACCACTGAAGAACAGACTGATAGCCAAAAGAAACCCGAAAGTCATTGTGAATTGCAATTGTTAGGCAGTGTAGACACTTCTTCTGGTCAGCAGCAGCCAGCTATGGAGAGTTCAAGGAGGCATAGCACCAGAAACCGTCCTCCAACCACGAGAGTACTCGAAGCTTTGGCCAATGGGTTCTTGACTGTAAACAGAAGGCCAAAGAATAAAGAAGCCGGATCACAACAAAATTTGGGGTCAAAGAGTTCACAACAAGCCCATGGCAGAACAAAGACTGCTGGGTTTGGGAATCACTCTCAAGTGTCCAAGATTGATGAGGAAACACATGGTGTTTGCAGTAGCAGGGCAAAGAAAGACGTGTTCAGCAAACTAAAGTCTCCTCCTAACCAGAATGGGCGAACCATCGGAGGCCTCTGAACTTGTGAAACATGTTCCCTCCTACTTCAGTGGCTCAAACTGGTTGTGGCTATTGTAAGTGTTCCTAGTCTTTCTACTCATCACTCATTTCTTTGTTTTATTCGAGAGAGCATGGTGTGAATACTTTGCCAATTTGCAAAAAGTTTTGCATGAAAGTCACTCCTTCTGTCCCAATATAAACATCACACTTTCCTTTTCCGTCCCTCCAAATATAAACTTCACACTTTCCCCATTTCCTTTTCAGGAAAGGAATCCGTGGCTCACAATATTTCTCTATTCTAATCCTTTTCTTTTCCACACACCTTTCACTTTTCAACACTTTTCTTGAACTCCGTGAAGTCAAACTATGAACTTTATTACGGGACGGGGGAAGGACACTTAGAAATTGATTGCTAGTTTGATACATGACCTTCATGGATGATTTACTTCCCGCAGGTATGAATTTTAAAATGTCAAACTGCTCCTCGAATGCGATGAAGACAAATTAATGAGTCAACTAATCTTTGTCAATATCTTTGTCAATGAATGAGGTTAGGGAAGACAAATGAATGAAGTGCGTGTGAAGGATTCTGTCAAAGTGCCTCTTCTTCTTCTTCTTCTTCTTCTTCATCTTTTCTTCTTCTTCTTTTATGCTGCTCTCCAGCCTCTCATTGTTGACAGAAGCATGCAACTCACCTGCAACATATGATTCTGCGACTCAGTTCCGCCATGAAGTCAGTGAATGTGAATATTATATTAGTTTTAGATTTAATCCATAGTTGTTTGTATCCTTCATTATAGTGCAGAAACCCTTTGTTCTTATAGCAATTCAAATATAGTTCTCTCAGACCTCATCTGTTATTTCTCCCTCTCCTCTATATGCTTTCATTAGATCCTCCATGCATTGCTGTAATGCTGTATTAACTCCAAAAAATCTCATAGAAAGTGTCAATCTAATAATAGTTAGCGCTGTATATTTTTAGTCTCTTTTTTGACTTTTCGAGCGTATTTAACATCTGAAAATCGGTCCTCTTTCTAGTGTATGAGGGAGGGGTTCATTGTTATAGAAGGGTTGTGGTGACAGAAGAATTGGATGCAAGAGTAAGTATTGTGTTATTATTGTTACAAATTGCATTCTTTCACACTATTCTTGTTGTACTCTTTGAGTATATGTATTTGTAGTACCACTACAACCTTGAGGATTGTACATATATTTGGTACAGTCCAACTTGTCACATCATCACTTCACTAAAAGAATAAAATGATCTTAAATCATTAAAGAAATGAGGATTGAAATTCACGAACAAAAATTTATAAATTTTTAGGACAAAAAGTATAATAATATGCCTTGTCAATCACATTTTTAGCTGTTTAATCATTTCTCTATAATTTCAATCATTCTTACACTTGTTCATTTATATTAATCTCTCATCTTTACCTTTTTCAGTTACTTATATATTCTCTCTTATCTAACTACGGAGTACATTACATCATTGATAAAATTAGAAAAACACAACTCTCAATTTGTTTTAACATGTCTGATGTGAAACTGTGCTTTTAGAGTTTGGGTCGAGAAAATAAATTATATGATAAAATTATATGTGGGTGGCTTTGATATACAAATATTGAAAATTGATTTACTCTCTTCATTCCATAAAAGTTTTTAGATTTTCTTTTTTTTGGATGCCTCAGAAAAACATTACACGGAGGGAGAGTTAAATTTTCTTCATCGTGAAATGTTTTCTAGTTTTGACTTTTTACAATCATTGAAAAACTTTTACCGTAAATAAAATAAAATTGATACTCCGTATTAAATATTAATACTAAATTAGTTTTGTTATACTACTTACGTCACAGTGTATCCGTCTCGTTTGACTTTTTTGAGTCAAATTGAATAACTTTGGAATTAAATTAATAAAAATGATAATGTATTTTAGTATAAAAAATTATTTTAATATATTTATCTTGTTGAGAAATATTAAAATTTTAATTTTTTAAGAGTAATTGATATTTAAAGTTTGTTAAATTTAGTTCAAAAAAATCAAACATTACGAATACACTGAGACCGAATATTTATTTTGTAAAATACGGAGTAATACTTTGTCTACTTTTGTAGAATGAGTAATATTTTATCCAACTAATATACTTTATAATTTTATTTAATTATTACTCAAAAGTTAATTTTAATAAGATTTAAAGTAGACAAAGTATTTTTTTTTGTAATAAAAGTTGGTACGTGGAATCCACGGGACCACAAGCCGCTTGGGACGGCAGCTTCAGATAGTTCTTGGCGTCGTGAAAAGAGTCACCATTTTCCAGAGCTCTCTGTTTAGCTGTGTCCAGAAACACCTTCTTCATTTCTGTGCTTTAATTTCCCCTCAATTTCCTTCAAGAAAGGGCGTAATAACTGTACTTATTCGAATACCCAGGTCATTGGAGCGCGAGAGAACGGGAATGGGTCAGGCATTTCGTCGAGCAGCTGGAAGAATTGGAAGCTCCAGAACCGAAGCGTCGTCGTCACAGCTGAAGAACCCAATTGGAGCACCTCCGCCGCCTCACCCGGAAAATATTTCCGTAAAAAATGTCGGCCCAGGAGCTGGTAAGTGCCTTAATTTGTGAGTTCCCATGAATTTTGATGGATTATATCGAGTTTCTTGACATTTCAATTTTCAAGATTGAACTTTTCACCAATAGGTTAAATTGCTTCAGATTGTAAGTTCAAATTAGGTTTGCTTCAATGCTGCTTGTAGAAATTGATTTAGCTGCTGTCCGAGTAAATAGGACTCTCCATTACCAGTTCATTTTGTTGCAGAAATATTTAGTGTTCAGTAATTCAGAAACACTTTTCATTAGTTTCCAATGCTTTAATTATGCGTACCGTGAGAATATATAAAGAAGAAGATGTTACTTTCTGCAAAATGGACAGCATATTAGAAACCTTCCGTAATACACCGAAATATTCTTCTTATTGGAGCACTTTGATGAGCCTTTCAATCCAATCCGTTCTTGTGAATGGGTACAACAACAACAATCGTTAAGGTTCCACAAGTTGGGTCTGGGGTGGGTGGGTGGGCGCAGCACTGCCCCTATGTATTAAGGTAGAGAAGCTGTCTACGAGAGATCCTCGGCTCAAGAAATTATAAACCCACTACCCAATTTCATTTCACAGAAAATTATTAGTATTCCATATTGCCTACAATAGGGATCTAGATTCTGTGGAGTACCTCCACTATGGAACTGCTCCATGGAATCCCAGTCCCTACAATCATCTAGGACATTATTTTCGGTTGAGTTGAAGTAATTTGTAATTGATGAACTGCATCTTTTATATGAGTATCAGTGTGAATATTCTAGAAAAGGGATTTTCTTCTAGAATCCTGCATAAGAGCAGGAACAGCTTGAGAAAAGTAGCTGCTTTACTGACATATCTGCTTCATAAAACTGTCCCCATCTATTACTTGTTAAGGTTATTATATTCTACAAGGTTTTTAAGTGAAATCATGACTTTGGCCCTTCGGGGGTTCCACCTTTTCTGTAATGTAAACCCTCTATCAATTTTGTAAAGTGTAGCATATCAGTTCTTTAGCAGGAGGTTGATTTAGTGAATCAGGTTTCTAGCGACAGGTAAAGGTAATGTGATTTTCGTTTAGGGCATATTGTGGTGGTTTTGTAAAACAGTGATTTTTTTTAGGTATCCAACGTATTTATCGTATTCAGTTATGGTCACTACCACTTAATTTCATAAGATTGTTGTATTTTTTTGTTGATTTAACTTTGTATTTATAAGTCACAACTTCATAATATCATAACACTATCACAATGATTAGATAGAGAAATAATGTATCTAAACATAATGCAATTTGGAAACCAAAACTTTTATGAAACTATAGTCTCTATACTTTTATATATTTTCCAACAAAATGCAAGTAATTTCTTCCTTCATTTTAGAGAGCACTGCAAAAGTTAATCCCAAGAATATTCTTGAAGAACGAGATCCACAGTTCGATGGGATGCTTAGTCAAATGGTTGGTAGAATTCGTGCTAAGCCTGGAGGGAAACCCGAAATGGGTGAGGTATGTGTCTGTGTTTGTGACACACGGTGGTACGTCATCTAATACTACATAAAACCTAATATACTCCATAATATGTTTTGCCACTTCTTTGGGAGAGATCTTGGGCTCCTAATGGCTCTTGGCTGATCTAAATTAGGACTCCCTTCATTTTTTCTAAAACTTACCATTATGACTCTTGCGATACAATAAAAGTTGAACGAATATGGACACATATAATGTTTGCATTCAATCATTTTGTAAAATATCAAGAAAATCACAGCAGTTGCCTCATATGGCAGGCTTCAATTGTGGGAAAGTATGAGAGGCCACTACCAAAACTAAGGAACACAACAACAGAGTCGAGCAGGTACGAGGGAAGGCCAGCGCCTCCTGGGACATTGAATGTTGCGCAGTTGCGACAGATCATAATGTTGTATCATGGAAAGGGGGTTGACCATAATAGTCAAGGTCCCATGGATGTCAACCAACTTGCCCATAAGTTCCAAATCGATGTCTCCCAAGTCCAAAGGATTGTCCAGTTTGTATCTCTGCCCACAGAGGACAACACCACAGAGCACAAGAAGAAGTTCTGATTCGCGGTTACCTTTGCACCCAAACATGAGGCGAGTGCAACATATGTCTGGGGCTCAAGATGTACACTTCCCTGCTCTGTAAAAAAAAAGGTGAGCTTTTCGCCAGACTCTTGTTGTTTTGGTAATTTTTTACTGTCAAAAACTTCGTAAAAAGTGAGAAACAAGAGAAGTTTAATGTGCTGATTTAGTGCATTATTTACCAGAAGTTAACTTGAGCATTAGCTATTGGGGAGGTAGCCAGCTTGTGGGATATGTATATCTTCAACCAGTTTAGGTTTTTCCTGTTAATCTTCAGCATAACATAACATAACATAACATAATTCTTTCTCCCGTGAACAAATTTTGTCCACACATTTTTTATTTTTCAACAGTTTTATTACACTCCGTGAAAGTAAAGTGTAACGAATTTTATGGGACGGAAAGAGTACTTTTTTTAAGGGGGAACAATAATATGAAGTACTTACTATTTATTGAAATGATGATTTCTTAAAATTGAGACATTTATTTTTTAAAGGATAATGCTACTTGCACCCCAAAAATACCCCAAATTGTACCCCAAAATAACCTCCCCCCACCTTACACGTGCAAGTACCCCCCACACCTGCGAAGTAATCCCCCACCCCATTTCCCCCACCTAATTCCTCTGCCTCCTCGCCTAATTTCCGGCGGGTCGGAGCGTTTTCCGGCCAACTCCGGCAAAATTGACGGCGGTAATCCACTCCAATGTGTTCGTGGCATCACGGAGACCTCCAAGGACCCCTCAATTGCAAGATTTGATGAAGATTTACAAAGCCTCCAATTTTGGACCCAATTTCGAATTTTAGGGTTTTTCGGGTGGAAAAATTCAGATTCGAGGAGTTACATGCCAAATTGGACAAAATGGTTTGGATATTCTTGATCCTCGTCTCAAGACAAAGAGAATGGCGTTGGTCTCGCCGGAATCGGACCAAGTTCATTTTCCGGCGACTTTGACCGGCGGGGGGCTGCGGCGGGGCGCGGAAGAAAAGAAAAGAAGAAATGGGGTCAAATTGAAAATTTTAAAATATATAAAATTCTAATTAGGCCCAAATGACCGGAAGTTGACCTAGAAACGGACTAATTGACCATTAGTGAAAGGATTGTGTAAGTTCAGGGATTTTTGTGAAATGATTTGAAGTTGAGGTACCACTTCGAAATTCCAGCTAAAGTTCAGGTACCATTGATGAAATTTACCCTTATTTTTAGTGATGTGTTCTGATATTGGTTAAGCGGATAACACAAAAATAATGACTATGATTGTGGACTAGGATTCTGACGAAAGATCACATTTGTAGACTATCGTTGTCGTAAAAAGCGACTGTAATTCACAAACGACGCAAACAGAACAGCCTTTGGAATTGTGTATGACAAAAAAGATATATTATCATTGTGAAATTACACTTTTAGCCCTCAAATTAACACCAACATGATAGAAGATAAAAAAAGGACTATTTGTGAAAAGGTACCCATAAAAGAAGAACCACTGGGATAATATTTGATAATCGAGGATTAAATAGGAAAACCCCCCTAACAGGACCAATTATAGAATTTACTATTAAGTAAATTTCTTCCCTTAAAAAAAGTAGTAGCTAGATTCAATTAGTAAACTATATTTGGATGGATCATGTTAGACATATTTTTGATGTGGGGGAAGAAAGAAATTGATGGAGAAAATACCGGGCATAGCATCATAGAAAGCAATAAATATTTCAAAAAATGACAATGGCAGTAACAAAAAGCGCATCTAGTGTAGTGGTATCATAGTACCCTCCCACGGTACTGACCGGGGGTGCGATTCCCCGGATGCGCATTTGTTTTTTTGACTTTAGGTGGAATGGACAGATGGTAATCCTTTTTCCAAATGAGAAAAATTGGGTAAATTTCACCAATGGTACCTGAACTTCAAATCCTTTCACAAAAATCCCTGAACTTACACAATCCTTTCACTAATGACCCATTAGCCCGTTTCTAGGTTAACTTCCGGTCATTAGGGTCAAATTCGAATTTTATATATCTTAAAATTTTCAATTTGATCCCATTTCTTCTTTTCTTTTCTTCCAGGCCCCGTCGCCGCCGCCCGCCGGTCAAAGTCGCCGGAAAATGAACTTTTTCCGATTCCGGCGGGACCAATGTCATTCTCTTCGTCTTGAGACGAGGATCAATAATATCCAAACCATTTTGTCTAATTTGTCCTGTAACTTCTCGAATCTGAATTTTTTTACTCGAAAAAACCCTAAAATTCGAAATTGGGTCTAAAATTGGGAGTTTTGCAAATCGTCATCAAATCTTGCAATTGAGGGGTCCTTGGAGGTCGCCCGGATGCCACGACTGCATTGGAGTTGGTGCCCGCCGTCAATTTCGCCGGAGTTGGCCGGAAAACGCTCCGACCCGCCGGAGTTGGCCGGACTACGGGATAACATTTGATAATAGAGGACTAAATATGGAAACCCCCCTGTTATAAAGGACCAATTATAAAATTTACTCTAAAGAAAATATCAAAATAAAAATTCCATGTTATTTATCCCTTAAATTGGAGTTATAATACCAATAATGCCAATATATAATACCAAAAGATACAAAACGATGCCAATATACAATGTCATAATGTCAAAACGCAAACTTCTATTTTAATTTGGTGATAAAATATTGAATTCATATTTTGAGGATAAATTGTACGTACGTTTGATTCTTATTTGGGGTGATTTCTTTGTTAACTTATAAAAAAAATATAGTGAATTATGGAGTAAATAAATTAGTTCTATTTTGTATAATATTTTGTTGTGCAATCCCACAACTTTTGTAATATTACTTCGGAAAAATAATTATTACCAGATAATCAATTAATGAAAAAATTTAATCTCACTTTGGGAAAAATGCTTAAATTTGGTATTATTTATGAAAAAAATTTTAAAAATTTGAATTTGGTATTTATTTATATAAAAATTTTAAAAATGAAATTTTACCTAAAATCTCACTTTGAGGAATCGTAAAAAATTTATATCTTTTAAAATTAGAGATATTACAGTAATGGTTAAACTAGGCCTTGTGTTTAAATTATTTTATTTAATGAGTGATAAGAATAATCACATACCAGACTCCACTCCATCTGGTACACATGCTCACTTTGTGTGGGCAATGAAAATGAAGTCAATTGGATTATAGATACAAGAGCCTTCAACCACATTACTCCTTTTGAACATATCTTTTGTGATATGTATACTCTCCAAGTTCCTATCAAAGCAACATTGCCGAATCATAAAACTGTGACTAAGGCATGAAATGTGATGCTAATTCCTAGTTTGGTGTTGATTGATGTTCTATGAATAGCAGACCTCAAGTTCAGTCTCATCTCAGTTAGCAAACTCATAGACAAGCATAACCTTGATATGATTTTCTTACGTGATAAATTTCCAGGACCATTTGACTTGCAATCATAGTTGTTGGCTCAAGAAAGTCTAGCTTGTACAGGTTGAAAATGAATTGAAGCATAAAGGTTCTGAAGAACAAAGTCCTCCTACATTGGCAGCCAAATCTTGTAGATTTGACTTTTTGCATGCTAAAATAGGTCATAGTTCCTTGTCCAAAATGAGACACATTTCTGATTGTAATTTGTCCAACAATTTCAGTTGTGGTACCAGTATGCTAGCAAAGTTTCACAAACTTGCTTTCAATGAAAGTACTTCTTTCACTGATGTGCCTTTTAAACTCATACATTTGGATCTGCGGGGGCCATACAGAGAACCTAATATTATAGGAGTCAAGTTTTTCTTAACAATAGTTGATGACACAAGTACTGCATGAGAAAGAGCAAGTCAAAATTGTTATATCACATTTCTTGTCCATGATAGAAACACAGTCCAAGGCAAAACTTGAATGTATTATATCAGACAATGGCACAGAGTTCATAAATTTTATTTATTCTGACGTTATTCGAATAAAGGGCATTGTCTTGTCATCTCTAGTTTGTAGAAATTTTTATAAAATTTTTTTACAATATAAATTTTATTTTTAAAACTTACTCTTATAATCAAGTAGTTTAAATTTAAAATCGGTCAAAGTTTAACGCGTAACGAGAATATCTCATTTGTACGAAAAGAGTAATTGACCATGGAATGGGCCCCATGAAAAAACCCAACCTTTGTGCCTACTTTCTAGTTTCTACAACACACCAAGAAGCGTGAAACTGGCTGGTCAAATTACTACAACCCCTTACTTAATTTTAAATTACATCCTTTGACAAAAAGAATAATAATTAAATCACCTGGTCAAATTACTACAACCCCTTATTTAATTTAAAAATTACATCCGAGATTTTTGGCCATTTCCGGCTTTCCTAAATCACCTGTACAATATTTTCCAACCTGCTTTTCCTTACTTTCCGGCCGCCGCCTTTAAGCTGCGAGCTCAACTTCCCCGCGGCCTAAACCCTAACCACGCGGGCGCGCGCGCGCGCACACACACGTCAACACTTCACGGTTATTCTCGTTTTGAAATCTGGAATTGTTAATGGCTGTTTTTCTCTTCGCGTTCTCTTCTTTCAGGTAAAATCTCATCTCATGGTTCATCGATTTATGCCTGTATTCATTGGTCTATTGCAGATTTCTTGAGAGTTGATTCTTAGTATCATATTTACATGCATAGCGAAAAGTAATTTTCCCTTACAGAGCTCGTAGTGATTGTTTCAATTAAAAATTCATCAAAAGTGTTGTATATAAATTGTAAAATTAACTCCCCCTTTTGGGATATAGATCCCAAGTCGGCTACACATGGACTGGAATGATATTTTATAAGATCGCTTACTACTCTTCTCAATGTCATCTAGTTTTGGATTGAAATCTCATGATTTCATATGGCTTCAGAGCCATAAGAGGCTTCACAATCCATGACTATGGATTCAAGTAGATGTAAAAAATGAAGGATAACTTGAGGCAAAAAGATCCAAGTTGCAGTCGAGGGAATGTTGGGACAATGATTCCACAACCGTTAAATAGAGACCAATATTGCAAAGTCCGGAGTAGTTTATAAGATTGTAGCCTACTCCTCCCATCGCCAATTGGTTTTGGGTACCTGTTTGGATTTAGTTGCCCAATTTCCAAAATGCCTCAATGTTTAAGATTGAGGTTAACAAAAAAAAACCCTTGAAATTAGCTTGGATGTTTTTCAGGGAATGTGTTCGATCATTGACAATAACTTGGTTACTAGATGTGGTAAGTGAACAGATAATCACGGATGCCTCA